CTGGGTGAACTGCGCAGCTACCTTGGCTTGCAGATCACTCGGGACAGAGCACGCCGCACCATTACCTTGACTCAGTCACACATGGTGCAGCAGGTCCTTCAGCGCTTCGGCTTCACGTACTCCTCGCCTCAGGCCACTCCTCTGTCTACTCGCCACTCGCTCTCAGCTCTGCCTTCGGATGAGTCCGTAGAGTCGAGTGGCCCGTACCCAGAGCTTGTTGGCTGCCTCATGTACCTGATGACCTGCACACGACCTGACCTTGCATACCCTCTTAGCATTCTTGCACGCTATGTTGCTCCTGGGAGACACCGACCAGAGCACATGGCTGCAGCAAAGAGGGTGTTGCGCTACTTGTGCAGTACGTCGGGCATGGGGCTAGTGCTTGGAGGGCGGAGTCCAGTGGTCCTCACTGGACACGCGGACGCTTCTTGGGCTGACGACCAGGCTACGCAGCGGTCGTCGCAGGGTTACACCTTCAGTCCTGGTTCCGGCTCTGTCTCGTGGCGGGCTACTCGCTCGTCCTCTGTTCTCGGCTCCAGTTGTGAGGCTGAGATCTACGCCGGGGCCATGGCTGCACAGGAGCTTCGCTGGCTCACCTACCTGCTGACTGACCTTGGAGAGCCGCCTCGTTCTCCTCCAGTGCTGTACGTAGATAACAAGGCCATGCTGGCCTTGTGTCGAGAGCAGCGCTTGGAGCACAGAACGAAGCACATTGCTCTCCGTTACTTTCTTGCTCGTGAGCTGCAGCAGCGTGGTCAGTTGCGACTTGCGTACGTGGCCTCTGAGGCCAACACTGCTGATGTGTTCACCAAGGCACTTGTGCCTTGTGATCATCAGCGCTTCTGCACTCAGCTGGGTCTTGTACCTGTCTTGCCTCACTTGCTCTCCTCTTGACCTTGCTTGTACTGTCACATATATATACCTGCTCTTGCTTGTCTAGCTCTATATATATATGTGCACTCCTGCATGTGAACTGGCCTTGTGGCCTTGTCGTTGTGCTCGGACTGTGTGGTGACTTTGTGATCCACCCTGAGCTTGCTGTGCTTTGCGTGACTGGTCTTGTGACCCCTTGTTCTCCCCCACTTTGCCTATGGGGGTGTGTCAGAACATATATATAGCTTATGCTGTTGTGTAGGCTATAGTGGGGTATCCCATAGGGGGTACAACCCAATTAGGGTTTCCTATATGTACTCACTTCATTCATAGTTCATTCATCCTTGTTCAAATCTTCTCACTAGTCTTGTTGCTGAGTCTGAGTCTGTCTGTCCTCCGTCCGTCGGGGGTGAGTGTGCTCTTGGCACGGACGTCCTTCAGGACAGGCAGGAGGACCTTGAGTGTCTTGCAGCCGCTGCGCCTCACCTCGTGTCCATGCTGCTTGCCCCTGAGGGAGACCCGGATGCTCTAGACATCCCGACCCCGCGCTCTTACGCTAAGGCGATCGCGGGTGAGTACTCCTCTCAGTGGCAGACAGCCATGGACGCAGAGATGACATCCTTTGAGTCCACAGGCACTTATGTTGACAAGGTTCCCCCTCCTAGGGCGAACATCGTCAGTGGCATGTAGATTTTCAGGGTGAAGCGGCCGCCAGGTTCTTCGCCTGTCTTCAAGGCTCGTTACGTTGCTCGAGGTTTCAGTCAGCGAGAGGGAGTTGACTTTTTTCAGACCTTCTCCCCCACCCCGAAGATGACCACTCTTCGGGTGCTGCTGCACGTTGCCGCTCAGCGTGACTAGGAGCTTCACTCTCTTGACTTCAGCACAGCTTTCTTACAGGGCAGCCTACACGAGGAGATCTGGCTGCGCCGCCCTCCTAGCTTCACTGGGTCGTTCCCTCCTGGTACCCAGTGGAGCCTCCGGCAGCCAGTCTACGGTCTCCGCCAGGCACCACGTGAGTGGCACGACACACTGAGGACTACACTTGCGGCTCTTGGGTTTCCTCCGTCGACTGCTGACCCGTCGCTGTTTCTGCGCACCGACACGTCGCTGCCGCCGTTCTACATCCTCGTGTACGTCGACGACTTGGTCTTTGCCACTGCTGACACTGAGGCTCTCGCCCACGTGAAGTCGGAGCTGCAGAAGAGACACACGTGCACAGATCTGGGTGAACTGCGCAGCTACCTTGGCTTGCAGATCACCCGGGACAGAGCACGCCGCACCATCACACTGACTCAGTCACACATGGTGCAGCAGGTCCTTCAGCGCTTCGGCTTCACCTGGTCCTCGCCACAGCACACTCCTCTGGCTACAGGCCACTCGCTCTCAGCTCCACTTTCGGACGAGTCCGTCGAGCCGAGTGGCCCGTACCCAGAGCTAGTGGGCTGCTTCATGTATCTGATGACCTGCACTCGACCTGATCTTGCGTACCCTCTTGGCCTTCTGGCTCGCTATGTGGCTCCTGGTAGGCACAGACCAGAGCACGTGGCTGCTGCTAAGAGGGTACTGCGCTACTTGTGCAGTACATCGGGCATGGGGCTCGTGCTTGGAGGGCGGAGCCCAGTTGTCCTCACTGGGCACTCGGACGCTTCTTGGGTTGACGACCTGGCTACGCAGCGGTCGTCTCAGGGTTACACCTTCAGCCTTGGCTCAGGTTCAGTTTCTTGGCGTTCTACACGCTCGTCTTCTGTTCTCAGCTCCAGTTGTGAGGCTGAGATCTACGCCATAGCCATGACTGCACAGGAGTTACGCTGGCTCACCTACCTGCTGACCGACTTGGGAGAGCGGCCTCGTTCTCCTCCAGTGCTGTACGTTGACAACAAGGCCGCCGTTGCCTTGTGTCAGGAGCACAGACTGGAGCACAGAACAAAGCACATCGCTATGCATTACTTCCTGGCTCGAGAGTTGTAGCAGCGTGGTCAGCTTCGTCTCGCTGACGTGGTCACTCGGGCCAACACTGCTGATATATTCACCAAGGCACTTCCGTCTGGTGATCATCAGCGTTTCTGCACTTTGTTAGGCCTTGTGCCCACATTTCCTCACTTGCTGTGGACTTTGCTTGTATTGTGATCTATATATATACCTGCATGCATGCTCTATTAGGTAGAGATCACTATGCTGTTATTGTTGCATATATACCTCTGCATGTGAACTGTCCTTGTGGCCCTCTGCTTGTGCTCAGTGTGTGTGGTGATGTTGTGATCCACCCTGAGCTTGCTTTGCTTCTCTTGACTGGTCTTGTGACCCCTTTTTCTCCCCCACTTTGCCTATGGGGGTGTGTCAAACGTTATATCTACTATACAATGTTTAGGCTGTAGTGGGGTATCCAATATGGGGTACAGCCCACTTTAGGGTTTCATATTTGTACCCAACTCTTCCATAGTTCAATCATTCCTGCTGCTAGATTCTAACAGCCTCCTCTCCCCTCCCATCCCGTCGTTCGCCTCCTCTCCCCTCCCATCCCCGTCATTCGCCTCCTCTCCCCTCCCATCCCGTCGTTCGCCTCCTCTCCCCTCCCATCCCGTCGTTCGCCTCCTCTCCCCTCCCATCCCGTCGTTCGCCTCCTCTCCCCTCCCATCCCGTCGTTCGCCTCCTCTCCCCTCCCCTCCCGTCGTTCGCCTCCTCTCCCCTCCCATCCCGTCGTTCGCCTCCTCTCTCCTCTTTCTTCCCGTCGCTCCTCCGCTCTCCTCTTTCTTCCCGTCGCTCCTCCACTCTCCCCTCGCTGGCCGTTGTTCCTCTCTCTCTCTCCCCATCGATATCATTCTATCCGTTGGTGATACCTTGTCAAACTTATTTTCCCCCCTCGTTCTTCGACTCCCTATTTTTAACCTCTTTCAGCCTTTCTCGCAGCTCTGCCAGGTCGTCGGCCCACCTCCGCTCTCATCTCCTGCATTTGTGTGTGCGCTGGATTCTGTGTTGTTGATTGATGTGAGGTTTTGTGAAGTTCTATGACTGCTCGAGTGAATACAGGCATTGTTACCTTGCGCCAAATTCGCACAGAAGTATGTGTGCATTGTGTGCAAGTTTCGCTGCCAATCAGAATCGTGCACTTGTTCCAAATGTTCCCCGTTCACAGCGAGACTCGTCTGGAGTGAAAAAATAAAAATGCACAGCACTTCGTTGGTTCCGGAACTGTTCCAAAAAAACTTCAGTTTTCAAGTGGACCCAACTAGAAGGGGGGGGGGTCACTATTTTAGCTGCTGGCTTTAAACACATGCCCAGGATAAAGCCCACTGGTGCTTATTCGAGGCAGGTTTACTAGCATTTCAGTATTTGACAGTTCCACGACACGTGGGCAATGCTTTGTCTGAGCACCGATCAATGCCAGCAGGCATTTGAGGAGGTAGAACCTAACTGACAAATGCTCCACTTTTGGCATTGCCGTGCAGGTGGGATTGGATGGAGAGGTCAGTCAGTTGCAAACAGGATGATAGGGAGGTGGTGAGGAGTACAGTGAGTGCGTTGGTAGAAGCATGGCTGGGAATTGGGGGAAATGGAGAGCGGGTGCCAAGATGTGTCTGAGGTGGATGATGCCTAGAAGAAATGTGTGTGTGTGTGTATGTGTGTGTGTGGACTGCAGTGCGAAGGGGCGTGAAATAGAAGATACGGTAGCAGAAATGCACCACAACCAGCACTGCTCAAAAATCAACACGCTCTAGAAAAAAAGGAAGGCCAATAATGAAACATTCCATATTGTACAAGACTGCATGTCAGGCTTCACAACCCTTCCAAGTTGCTGTCATAAGCAAATGACAGCACAGAAACCCAACTAAATCCTGCAAATGTACCCGTATCATCAGAAGCTCCTCAAACCTTCCTCAGGCAGCAACCCCGACTGGCGGCCTTTTGACTCCAGAGAGTCTACAAAGCCAATCAAGGCAGCCACTCTTCCTTCAATGGTCGCAGAACACGAAGGGTGAAATGACCCCATCTCGCGACTTCCCTACTAGCCTGAACCCAGCACTCTGATTTCGTCCAGAGCTGCTCCAAAACATTGAACAACAGGCCGGGCAGCGGCCACTACACCTGAGCGTCGCCCACACACGCGAGGCTGGACCTCACACCCTCACCTAGTCCACAGTCACCTTTGCTCCGCATTCCTTTCCCACTGGCGCTGCCACGTGCTTCAACTTCGGGCACCTGTGCACCCGCACCCGCTGCAGTCGGGGTAACCTCCCCAAATCCGCGGGCAATGACTCGAATTTCTCGCACCACGACACGGTCAGACTCTCGAGGCTCGCGCAAGCAGCCATGGACGGGCACAGCTGCTCCAGCCTGCGGCAATTCTCCACACAGAGCGTCTTGAGCTTGGGAAGCTGGCTGAACGCGTCAGGAAGGCGCGTGAGAATCGGGCAACCATAAATACTTAATTCTTCCAGGCTGGACAGCGAGCCAATGGATTCCGGAAGGCTTTCCACTGACACGCTTCGGAGCTTCAGCTGCGCGAGTTTTTCCAGTTGCCCGAAGTTTTCGGGCAGGCGCGACAGGCAAGGGAGGCCCTCAATCTCAAGCTTCCGCAGCCGCGCGAGCAAGCAGAACGACTCGGGCAGCACTGCGAGCCCGTCGACGTGGTCGAGCCGCAGCTGCTCGAGGCGCGCGAGCTGGCCCATGCCATCCGGAAGCGCCGCGGCGGTGCCGCTGTGGCACCTGTGCACGTGGAGCGACGCGAGGCTCGTCAGACAGGAGAGCGACGGCGGCACGCCGGCCATGTTCTCGCAGCTCAAGTGGCGCAGTGCGGGCATGCGGCGAAAGAACGTATCCGGCGCTGTCGCCCCGGGAAGGTCTTTAAGATGCACCTCGAGGAGGCGCGGAAACGGACGGTCGCATTCCGGTAGCGTTGAGAGGGACGGGAGAGCGACGAGGTCGAGGAGATGGAGCGACGAAAGAGCGGAGAAGGACGCGGGGATAGCGCTGAGGGTCTTCATGTGCTGAAGCGAGAGATGCTGTAACTCGGACAAGCCATCCAGGCCGTCCGGAAGATGGTCCAACGCGGGGAGATGTGCGAGGACGAGTCGGTTGAGACGAGGCAGGTCTCCCGTGTCTTCAGGAAGCGACGCGAGACGCGGGCAGTGCGTCACGTGTATCGTCTCCAGCGACGCGAGACACGCGACCGACGGCGGGAAATTCGTCAGCGAGGCGAGTTGACGCAAGACGAGGGTTTTGAGCTGAGGGAGTCGGAGCGCGGATGCAGGGAAGGCGGCGAGAAGAGGGCATTCGGTAATGGAGAGCGACTCGAGGGATGAGAGCCGCGACATGGCGTCAGGTAAGTGCTGGAGCGCGTCGAGCCATCCGAGGTCCAACGTCTTGAGCGCGCGCAGCTGACCAGGGCGGAAATCCGGGAAAGAGCGGAGTTGCGAAGTAACGGCCACAGAGAGCGCCGCGAGCGACGGAAACGTGTTGACAGCCCGCTCAAGGCTTGCTTCGTCGCACGCATTTTGCCTCATCCACGCGACTCCCGGATGCACTTGGCAGGCGACTCGGTGCCATCGCTTGCTGACGAGAGCGTGGTCGAATTTGCGCCCGCCACACGCGACTCGGCAGAGAATAATGCCAAGAATTTCGTCAGGGAGTTTCTGGGAGAAAAGGTCGCCTCCGCGCTCGCGGTCCCGCTCGCGCTCCATGGTGGAATTGTGACAGTGAGGCTCAAGACCGAAGGGCTCGAGGTCAAGGCGGGGGGTACTTGTCAGGGAATTTGCTGGTGGGCTCAAAATTTGGACACTGGAGCAACAGAAGGTTTCTAACTGATTAGGGGTAGGATTTGAGGCGTTTCTTTTTCATCTGGATTCTGGTGAGCAGGTGGTTGAGTTGAGTCGAGCCTCTCAACTCAAACGTCGAGTAAGCTGGGGAGGGCAGCAGTGCCACCAAGCCGCGCGGCATGGCTTGGCATGGATTTCAGACAATACCAAGCTCTGGAGGCTCGACTTGCGCAGGTGTGGCTAAAGCCTGGCTTCTGTTCGGTGAGGCGCTTCACGATTTGCTCGCTGGTGGTTCGGCATACCGCGTGGTAATAGGGGAGATGCGGATTGACCAAGACTTGTTGACGTAATCTACCTGGGTGAGGTTATGATATGGCAAAGCTGCCATGCTGGATATTTACACCAAGTCGCTAAGAGGCCTGGTGCACCCAACCAACCAGCAGCACTTCCTCACGAATCCCCGAATTTATGGGAATTACCAAAGCAAACTCTTGAACTCCTCAGTGATTGCCACGTCAGGTTAACAAACTTCCAGCACCAAGCCAGCAACAGCTGATGCGGCCAAGGCAGTTGAATCAGTTTCGACACAGTTAGGGCGAGTCCAACAAGGATGTATTCGCGGCAGTACCATACTCAACCACTGTTTTCATTTAGTAGACTGCTCTGGATTGTACGAAAACGTTTTCAACCGCATTCGCCCTTGGGTCTTTTGTGCCTCCAATTCGATAAGATTTAGGCTGTTCTGGTTCTCCTCAATACACTCCAATCTTCAATTCAATTGGTCTAGTTAGTTGCTATTAGTTATAGTTCAATCATCCTCACATATTGAGGAGCCTATTATATACCACTTTCTCTTCCCTCTCCCCCTCCCCCACATCCTTCCCTATCCTACCCCCCGCCTCCCTCCTCCCAACCAACTCTTCCTATCTCTCCCCTCTATTCTTCCCCTCCCTCCTATTAAACTATATTTGATATACTTGTTTCTTTGGGCAGGGCAATACATATACTTACGAAACTACATAACTCTCAAGATGTAGAAGGTATTTAGGAGCCATGGGGTTTTGGGAAGTGAGAGGGTTTCAATATTGAGAGAGATACAGAATATAGGTGCAATGGAAGGTGGCCAAGAAGGGTATATCACCAACAATAGAAGTTGTTACGAATAGTAAACGACCATTGTGCACTCCTGACCGCAGCTAAGCGAGCACGCAGTATCGAGAATGAATGCGAGGAGTCAGAGTTGACCCCAAGCGACGCAGACAGTTAGAGAGGATCTGGACCGTCGCAGCAGACGGCATTGGGCAGCTGCAGGGAAGAGGGATTTGGCGGGTACAGTTTCGTAACTGTACGCACCGCACGGTTGGGAATGAATTTGAATAAGGGAATGTACCCCTTAGAGTACATGGCTAGCTAGGACGATTCGAATTCCCTGTACTCCTATTTATACTTTCTGTATTTGCATGTTTTAAATCATCTCAAGCATTTTACATTAACTCCGCTATTGAGTCCAAGGGCCCACCACCACTAAGTCAGCAGTGTGCAAACCTTCCTCAGGTGATCCTGGCTACGATCAACTTCTAATCGCAACATGTTATGAGAGCGACTCGGGAATCCATCGCACTGCCACCTCCAAAATCTTCGACACTCGGAAAGTGGCGTTCGGCACACGGTCGCGTGTGAGAATGGCCGAAGGATCTGGTGGTCAGACTAATCTGACGGCTGAAGCGCATCCCAACCCGGCTGCGACAAGCGAAGAAACGACGACGATCCCTTCCGCCGTTCTCGCACAACTACTTCAACGACTCACCAGCTTGGAGCAAGGACTCCAAACATTGCGGAACAGCGATGTGGGAACTTCCTCCCAACCCTCTCAACCGGCCTCGAACGGCCTGAACGCCGCCCCACACACCTTCTCCCTTGACACAAATGGTTCAACTCCCAAGACTCCTCGTCCCAGTGAAGAGGCAATTCTCTCAGCGCAATCAAGGTTTCTCAACATATCAAAAATAAAGACAAGTGTGTGCTTTGACGGCAGAGATTTCTATACCTGGAGCTTCGAGTTGGAGCTCCTGCCGCAGAACACTATTTTTTTTTTCACTATTTTGACGGGAGTTACGCGGAACCCGCCGAAGACACCGACGACGCCAGGACGAGGTACTACAACGAGTCCCTGATGGCGTACGGGGTTGTTCTTCGCAGTATGTCGCCGGCGGAGCAACTGAGCATCCGCTCATACAAAACTTCACTTGCTCCATGTCAGAATCCCAACCACTAGACCATTGGGATAAAAGGGCTTGTTAAGTAGCGGGTCAGTGTGCCCATAACCCCCCAGGCCAACGTGCCTGTAACCCTTCCCTAGGATCAATCGGGGACCACCAGTGGATCTCTGACACCCCCCCGCACTGGGATGCCCGAAGTGCATACACCGGGATTCGAACCCGAAACCTTCGCTTTGATACCATGTCAGAATCCCAACCACTAGACCATTGGGATAAAATGGCTTGTTAAGTAGCGGGTCAGTGCGCCCATAACCCCCCAGGCCAACGTGCCTGTAACCCTTCCCTAGGATCAATCGGGGATCACCAGTGGACCTCTGACACTCCAGCCCTCGACGCTTGGCGCCACCTGAATGGTGTGTATCAGCTGAAGGACTCCGTTTCTTCGAGCCGGTTGCTCCAGCAAATACTGGAGACCAAAATGGCCCCCGGGGAGAAGTGTCACAGGATCGAATTCTGAATCGAAACTTGTCACTAAAACTGAATACAAGGCGTTTTTTATACTCGGAAAATACAAGGATAAACGAGATAAAACGAACCTTCGGGAACACGCCCTTCCCAATACTACCATCACAAGTGCGCACAAGCACGCAAGGCTATTGACACTTGGGATTACGCCCAGATTACACCGTATACACCACTGTCGGCGCTGTCGGTGCCGTATAATAGATATGTCGGTGGGAAAAGTAGGAAATAAGTGAAATAAAGAGAAGGCTCTAGAAAATAGAATAGCAGGTCGATTGAGATGAAATTGTCAGGCTTATATGCTATAGTCTGTGTAGGCTGTAGTGGGGTAGTTCATATGGGGTACAACACTTTAGGGTTTCCTACTTGTACTCCTCATCTTGCTCAATGCAATCATTCCTCGTTTCTTATCATGGTATCGAGCAGGTTCCCTAGTGGGAACGCTTCCTAGGGCCCACCACGATATTTGTTTTTTTTCCTGCCCGGAGCGCGCTTCGCTCCTGCCCGAGTCGCGCTCTGTGTGCCCTCCCTACCGTCGCGCCCTCTCACGGCCCCTTCGCGTCGCCTTTAGCGGCCCCTCTCACGGCCCCTTACGCAACCCTTACGGCCCCTCGCGCTGCCCTTTACGGCCCCTCGCGCCGCCCTCTACGGCCCCTCGCGCCGCCCTTACGGCCCCTTACGGCCCCTCGCGCTGCCCTTACGGCCCCTTATGGCCCCTCGCACCGCCCGTCGGCCCCTTGCGCCGCCCTTAGCGGCCCCTTACGGCCCCTCACGCCGCCCTTACGGCCCTCGCGCGGCCCCTTCCGGCCCCTCGCGGCGCCCTTACGGCCCCTTACGGCCCCGTCGCCGCCCCGTCTAGGCCCCTTGCGGCCCCTCTGCGGCCCCGTCTAGGCCCCTTGCGGCCCCTCTGCGGCCCCTCTGCGGCCCCTCTGCGGCCCCGTCACCGCCACCTGCGGCCCCGCCGCCGCCACCTACGGCCCCGTCGCCGCCACCTGCGGCCCCGTCGCCGTCACCTGCGGCCCCGTCGCCCTCCCCTAGCAGCCACGTCGCCGCCTCTACCGGCCCCGTCACCGCTCAGCCGCCCAACGACCGAGCCGCCGAGCAGCCCAGCAGCCGAGCCGCCCACCAGCCAAGCCGCCGAGCCGCCCAGCAGCCGAGCCGCCCAGCAGCCGAGCCGCCGAGCAGCCGAGCCGCCGAGCCGCCGAGCCGCCCCGCAGCCGAGCCGCCCAGCAGCCGAGCCGCTGAGCCGCCGAACCGCCCTACTGTCGAGCCGCTGCTGTTCCTACCGGTGCGCCCCGGCCCTACTTACTCGGACTGGTGAGATCACTCCCTACTAGGCCACTGCAGTCATGGCTACCCCCAGTGTCCTTACCTTTGATGCTGAGGGCTGTGCCGTTGACTTTGAGGTCTGGGTCGATGAACTCCAGCTGTTTCTACAGTGCGATAGGGCAGACGGACTCTCTCTGTTCGATCTCACCTCTGGTGTTTCTCCCGCCCCGCCTGCTACTGCTGACAGCACTGTTCGCTCACAGTGGGCCACACGCGATGCTGCTGCTCGCCTTGCTGTGCGTCGCCACTTACCGACCGCTGAGCGTGCGCACTTTAGCCAGTACAAGAGTGCTAAGACCTTGTACGACGCTGTAGTTGCACGCTACTCCTCCCCTGCCACTGCTGCTCTTAGCCGCCTCATGCTGCCGTACCTGTTCCCTGACCTTGCTGCCTTTCCCACAGTCGCTGACCTCATTACTCACCTTCGCACTAGTGACATTCGCTACCGCGCTGCGCTTCCTGCTGAGTTCTGTGCCAAGAACCCCCCCCCCATGTACATCACCCTCTACTACATAGTCACCCGCCTCCCTGACTCCCTTCGCTTAGTCAGGGACCACTTCCTCTCAGTTTGCCCCACCACACTCACCGTCGACCTCCTTGAGGAGCGCCTCCTAGCAGCAGAGAAGAGCATAGTCGCTGTAGGAGCCTCTCGTGGTGACCCTCGCACCCCCGTCTTTG